TGAAAACACCTGCTCAAAGGAAAATAAAATTAGAAAAAAAAAAAACAAAGTACCCAGAGTCTTTAGGAGACTCTTAATGCTTAAGGCTTGTTTCAACTCCAGCCTCCCGTGAAGGACAGCTCTGTCAGAAAAGCTCCAGACTTTGGTAATTAGTCAGTTTACAGTAATAAAAATGTAACTAACAGCATTTTTTGAATTTTCCAGTAAATGTATACATCTCTAAGTAAATATATTAAACTACTCTTCACTACAAAAATACAGTATTTGAGAAGTCTCCCATAGTTTTCAGTGTTTTATGAAAATAGTAAGCCGACTACTAACAGGCTGATAGTCGATCCAGCTGGTCCAGCCCCTCAATAAAGTGCTTTGCTGCAGAAAAACTGAGTTAGAACCTCACCCCTTTCCAGCTAAACCAGGAGTGACCCAACAAACCCTTCCAGCTTCCGAAGGCAGGAGCATTTGCTTTGCTCCTCTGCTACCCGTCTCGGTATTTCAGCCTTTTATGGACTCTCACAACCCTGATAAGACCCAGAGATGCAAAGAGGAATCTGATTTCTTTGATCTTTGACAAGAGCTCACCAAAAAAAAAAAAAAGCCATATTCAGTTTTTCAGTGGAGGAAGCCTGCCTTGGTGGCTGCTCAACAGCACTATGCTGTGATCTGCTGTTGTGAGATGGGGAGAACATCCAACATCCCCGTCTGCATCGAGCTGTAAAGCAGCCCCTCAGGAAGGGAGCAGAGAGAGGCATCGATTGTCCAGCAAAACCAGTGCTCTCTCTCAGCCACGTAAAATTCTCAGTCCGTTCTGAGCTGCAGGTCACAGAGAACCACATCAGATTTGAGCAGGAGCTCAAATTCCCCAGGGAAGGGGATCGGGCTCCTCTCGGGGCTGTACAAAGAACACACCAAAGAAAGCGTTGTAAGACTCATCACCTTTGAAGGTTGTTCCAAGGCAAGCCCCAGCTCCAAAATCTGAAGTTTTTAAATTTAATAAACTGCAGTGGTGTCAAAGAAAAATAATCACAGCACTCCCATGCAGACATGGGCCACGCACGTGTACCGTAAAATCCACACCCATTTAAGACAACAGAAACCAGGAGTATCTTTGCCTCCCTCATTTGAACGACCTTCAAATCAGCAATTTGGAGTCTACAAGAGAACAGCTTCTGAGTTAAAATGCACCTTGGGCCCAAATTCATTACTACCATTCCTGGGGTAGACAAATGTACCACGACATCTCAGCGTTTCCTGTACCAAAACCACCTGTAAACCCTCCCCGAGGAGAACTTCTTCAAAACAATATGTATTTAATGAGATTAACTAAGCTTTGCTTCTTCCTTTCCAGTCTAAGGTTTAACTTGCATTCAACTTTCTGGGCATTAATTCCTTTTAAAACACAGCTCACACAGCCCTGGTCTGACACACACATCACATCTTTGGACTTCTCCAGTGTAGTTATTCCTATTTTTTTTTTAAAGCAATCAAATCCTCAAGCTCTATTTTATATTGCACTACAACTTAAGATATGGAGAGTAATTGATCTATCAAAGCTGCTACGAAACAAAACCATTAAAATAAAACCTTCATAAAGGATCATCAGTGCCCTGCTGGCAAGCAAAACACATCAAAAACCCGTCATCCTTCCTATCGCATCAACCTTTGGGTTAGATGCCTGAACAAAACTTCCCAAATAATGGAAAGAAACCAAAAAATAAATAGGAGAAGCTGACTCTGCAGACAAGACCCGACGTAACTGCTGATCAAACCAGGAGTTGCTCAAGGCAGAAAGGGGAAAGAGGTCATTTTCTGTGGGCAGCGCAACCGGCACCACCTACTTCACGTCGTCTCCTTATGAATCCAACTCCACTGGCAGGAATTCAGCCCTTCGTTCCACCAGCAGCTCCAGGGCTTTTACATCTTTCCAGCTTTTTTGTTGCCAGAGGTGGAAACGCGGAGGATGTTGGGGGTTTCCTCCATGACTCTGACAAGCAAGTTGTCAATATAGTCCTCCAGCTCCCGCACCTGGAGATCCTTCCTGGTAATTGCATCCTTCTGCTTCAGGACCAGCTGGATCAGCTCGTCGTGGGTTAGCTGGGCATATGCATAGGCAGGATCCGATGGATCGTATTTCTGGGAGAGAGGAGAAAGGCAGGGTCACTACGGACATCGGGGCATTTCAAAACAGCAACAGGACCGTGGCTGGGCTGAGGAATTTCAAGCCCAAAGGAGCAGCTTTACAGACGGCATCTGCACAGCCACAGCTGCTCTGCAGAAGTATTTCTGTGCTTCGTGCCTTTAAAAACATAAGTTCCCTCCCAATGGCATCACTCATTAGAGTTTTAGGATGGAGCAGAGCCTGCCCCAGCACCAGGAAGGGCAGAGAGAGCTGCCAGCCCAGCCCAGATTTGTGCTAGGAAGCACCTTTCGGGCCATTGCAAACCCAGCCTGGAAAAATATCATACAAAACACTACCTGCTCGTGCACTCCCAGAACACAGAGCAGTTTTTTGAAAGTATTTAGAGGGAAAAAAAAACCCTGCAGCTACCTCAAAGTGTGTGCTACTTATGGCACAGAGACAGGACCGATGGAGCTCAGCAGCCTGCTCTGGAAGAGAAGGCTCAGAGAGGGACCGCCGTTACGGATGGCGACCAGGCATGGGTTTTACCAGAAAATCTTTGCATGACATCAGTTCTGTAATTCAACTCTGCTGCAATTTACACCAAAAGAACATCATGGGGACCCTGGGCAGCCCGTCTGGCCGAGCCAAGATGGCCAGAGGTCACAGCCACACACCATCAGCCACCATCAGCCACAGGCGAGCGCTGGGACGGCTGCTGTTTGAAACGACCCAAAGACCAGAAAAACCTAATTCAGGTTAAACAGCAAGAAACACCCACGGAGGCCGTTGCCATTTCCCTCTTACTGTAGTTATCACTGGGAAAAGACATCACACAGGTTCTCCAAAAAGCCTGCTTTTGACCCTTAAGCAAATTTGACAGGTTCTGGATTTCTTATGTGGGACCAGAGCACCACAGCAGAACACTAATTACAAGTCTTCGACTCATTCAAAACAGCAACTCATCACTTTGAGTCACTTAATGTGCATTTTCCTCTTTTCCACTAACCAGAAGGAGGCACTACAGCTATTTCTTCTACAGGCAAGCGCCAGAACAGCTGCTGTTTGAAACAACCCAAAGACCAGAAAAACCTAATTCAGGTTAAACAGCAAGAAACACCCACGGAGGCCGTTGCCATTTCCCTCTTACTGTAGTTATCACTGGGAAAAGACATCACACAGGTTCTCCAAAAAGCCTGCTTTTGACCCTTAAGCAAATTTGACAGGTTCTGGATTTCTTTCGTGGGACCAGAGCACCACAGCAGAACACTAATTACAAGTCTTCAACTCATTCAAAACAGCAACTCATCACTTTGAGTCACTTAATGTGCATTTTCCTCTTTTCCACTAACCAGAAGGAGGCACTACAGCTATTTTGGTACCACTGCTTCATTTTCCCCACAAAACCCTCAGAGAGGGTAACGGTACCCGGGGTTTTTCACCACTGACCTGGAGATGGTCCCAGCCTGATCAACGTGACCTTTGAGCTATGCCTCCAGCCTGGAGGTCCCTTTTTGAGGCCAAGATTATGCAAAAAACTCCTTCTTTAAATCTGAGTGATTACGGGAGCTTCAGAGGTCGGCTTTTAGGAACCAGCCGTGCTCTAATTGCAGGTGCCCAACCCTCAGCCTGCACAGGGTAATTAATGCAACACCTTACAAGGCAGCCTGTACCACCCCTTCATTTTCCCCACAAAACCCTTAGAGAGGGTAACGGTACCCGGGGTTTTTCACAACTGACATGGAGATGGTCCCAGCCATTCTGATCAACGTGACCTTTGAGCTATGCCTCCAGCCTGGAGGTCCCTTTTTGAGGCCAAGATTATGCAAAAAACTCCTTCTTTAAATCTGAGTGATTACGGGAGCTTCAGAGGTCGGCTTTTAGGAACCAGCCGTGCTCTAATTGCAGGTGCCCAACCCTCAGCCTGCACAGGGTAATTAATGCAACACCTTACAAGGCAGCAGCCACCCCGAGGTTACTTTTTGCCCCAGCTTTAAGATCCACATCCTTATTTGAGGGTGAAAATGAGCTTTGGGGACTAATCACATCTGAAAACAAAACAGACCCATAAGATCTGAGCCCAGGCAAAAACTCTCTCGAACACACGAACTCTGTTCAATTAAACTGCTTAAGCATCAGCTCCAAGTGCCACTTTTCCTCCGTACCTTCACGTTCATCTCCAGCAGCTTTTCGTTCATGGTGCTGATGACATCCAGGTTCTTGCTCTGAGACTTGGTTGCCGTGGTGTTCATTGGTTTCACGGGATGGAGCCTGCAAGGGTACAACAGGCTCAGGTCACCCAGGCAGCACGTAACAACATCAGCACTACACACACCTTCAGACTAAAAGCAAATACAGCAAGACATTGGGGAAAATTCCTACCCTTCTCTATCTCCAGAGAGATAAAAGATTTCAGCTTTGGGAAGACAAGGCGTTTCTGTCTCTGCTGGGTTTTTATATACTCCAGTCCTCTTTCTACTATCTTTATAGACTTAAGGCATTGGAGATAAAGCAGCAGTAAGGAGGGATTGGTATATCACAAGGACAAGAGGAAATGGCCTCAAATTGCACCAGGGGAGGTTCAGATTGGAGATTAAGAACAATTTTTACACGGAAAGGGTTATTAAGCCTTGGAATGGGCTGCCCAGGGAAGTGGTTGAGGCACCATCAATGGAGGGATTTAAAAGCCAGGTTGACATAGTGCTTAGAGACATGGTTTAGTGAAGGGTTTTATTAGAGTTGGGTTGATGGTTGGACTCAATGATCTTAAAGGTCCCTTCCAACCCAGACAGTTCTACGATTCTGTGACAAAAGCAAAGGCAGGTGGGTCCACACGAGAAGGCAGTACACAGCAGCAGCTCCTCTGATCTCTCACGCTCTTGTATTTGAGCCTGACTTTCCTAACAAGAATGTATTTGTGGTTCTTGCAACATATCAAATACTTCTACTGTCACGGGACAAGCATGTTTTGCGTCTTTTCCAGTCGGAACTTACGCCATCAGCTGTCGAAAAGTGCTACCTTCATTTGCTTGAGCAGGATTTATACTGCACATTTTAATACAGGAATAAATTTTCACTTGTAGCTCAGCAAAAATGGATGAACTGCAGTCCTTTTCCCCAATTTGATGAAATGACCCTATTTCTGAAACTGTCACCAAGTTTCCCTAACTTTTTTCCTAAGAAGTAGCTCCATGATGACTGGCAGGATCCCTCAAGAGCTCTGGGCATCCTTTTTAGCATTTAGATTTCTCCGGTGCCAGCGACGATCCAGTGCTGGCACAACAGACCCAGACCCTGAGAAATCCACGGGCTGGAGGAAATTAAGGCTGCACGATGCCACATCACTGTAAATTCACAGCGCAGTGAATTCCTGGGGCTGGAGAGACAGGGAAGGAAAAGCAAAGCTCAGGTCAGTTCCCCGTGTTCTCTCACCTGTGCTTAGGAGACACGGTTTCACCACTCTGCTGATTTGGGTTAGGAAATGTTTCAGAGGGTGAAACCCATGCCTGAAGAAGCTTCTTCTTGCCCGAATTTCCTGCTTTATCTGCGAAGCCCTCGGCTGCTGGCTTTTTCGGAGACTCTGCTCTACGACTTGGGGTGTCAGAAGGGAGAGAATCAGAGGAAGAGTAGGGCTGGGAAGGACTCGACAGGGAGGAAGAGGAAACAGAAGGCTCAGAGAAGTCGCACTCTGCTCGCTCCTCACCACCTGCGCTTATTTTCAGCTCTTGTTTCGCAAAACGACTATTATGTTCCCTGGAACTGGACGTCAGAGCTAACCCTGAGTCAGCCACCCGGTTATTGGCACCGTGAGCATCCACTCTGGCAGGCAGGACGCCTGGTTTGCTGGGCTTGCAAGCACCAGGAGCACTTCCTCCTCCTCCTCCTCCTCCCAGAGCAGCTGGGGTTACCTGGGCTGCAGCAGAGCCCCCAGAGTGCTCTATCAGTTCTCCTTGCAAAGGCATTCTGTCCGGGGACTGCTTTCCAGTCCCCAAAACGTTTTTATCACCTGCAGTGACTCCGTGGGTCTCCTGAGAGTCCCCCAGCAGCTCCTCATCGGAGCCTCCCTCCGGAATAACTGGGAGACCAGCCAGTGTCAAACTACGGTCTGCGGGAATGGCAGACTTCAGATTCGTAAGGCAGTCAAATAGATCATCATCACCTTCATTTTTTAAATGCCTGTTACTGCTGTGATCTCTGAATGTCACTGACGAAGTGATGGTCTCTAACGAGCCACTCTGGGGGAGGGACCCAGGAGCGTCTGAGGCTTCATCACCACGTAATGGGAGCCCAGGTGTGGATTTTACACCGTCACCTGCAGAAGACACATCATCACCGAACTCATCAGCCTGAGAAACCGGTGGGCGCTTCGTCAGCGTTACAGACAGCCATGGTGCTGGCCTGGGAGCCACTAACACCTCCCTGCCAGCCCTCCCTGCATCGGCTTCCCCAGGGGACACTGCGCGAGCTCCCAAGGCTGGTCTGGCAGATCCTACTGGAGAAAACGAGTCATTTTGATCAAGGGGAGTCTCCCGGGGCTCTAACGTGGGTGCACATTCTGCCCCTCTCTTCTCACCACACATCTCCTGCTTCTCTTCCAGCTGATGCTGGGGGGAAGGTGGCTGCTCAGCACCTGTCTGTGGTAATGGGTCATCATTACACTTTGAGAGAGACACAAAGCATTTGCTGTCCTTTGAGCAGGGCTCAGGATTTACAGCACCTTCTTCCACACCACCCTGAGCCCGGACAGGACCTGTGCTGTCACCAGAGAGCTCTGATGATGGGTAGCTCCCTGTTTCCAGCTCTCCAGCAAACCCTGCTCCCTCTCTGCTTGCATCTGAACCCGTCGATTCCACTTCCCTGAAACCAGAGCCCTGCTTTCCACGTTCCTGCCCACCCAAATCCTCATCACTTACTGTAGCCCCCTCCGACCCGCCGAGGAGAAAGGACACAGATTTCCTGTTGCCCAGTTTGCTTCCCTTTGGGACAGGTTTGTCATTACTGGTTAAAGCCACATCTGAAGAGCTCCCTGACGCATCGCGAGCAGAGTGTTTCAGCTCAGCGGGGTGTTGTGCTGAGGAAGAGTCTTCCTCATCACGAGGAAGGCAGACAGGGGAAGAACTAGCAACAGCTTCCAAACCTGGCGCGTCCGCTTCCCACCCAAGCTTGGACACGAAGGGATTATTGTCATTAAAATGACAATCAGAGGGGAGAGAAGCTGCAGGTGGGCAAGAGAGACCCTGGGGAGCCCACGCATCAGAGCCCCCAGGCCCCTGGAAGCTCTGCCCCAACTCAGAAGCAAAAGGATTATTCCCACTACCAGAGACCTGCCCGGGAAGAGGCGTTTTGGGAACGGAGGCTGCAAGATGATGGGCTGAAGGGAAACGGTCAACACCTTCAGGACCCAGGGCTGCAGATGCCCTGCCCCACTCGGGACTAAAGGGGTTCTTGCCACTGAAAAGCTCTGCAGCAGAAGCAGGAGGAGAAGTAACAGACGCAGGAGAAGGAGTGATGTTTTCAGAGCCTGGCACTCGGACGCTTTGCTCCGTTTTGGAAATAAAAGGATTGTTGTCACGACTGACACGGTGCACAGAGAGAAAAGCAGGGAGGGAATCGGGTGCGAGAGTAGGAAGCGTGGCTTTGGTTTCCTCCTCTGCAGGCACGCCCAGTCTGCAAAAAGGGACAAAAAACTCGCATGTCACTTGCGGATGCAACACGAGGCGGGAACAGACAAGCTTTAGCACCAGACTCCATCAACTCCTAACACCCGAGAGGAATTCTACTTGTGAGAGATCTCAGAGCCTCTCTGACAGACTTTACACACTTAGATGTGTCTTTGCCAAGCACTCTGTTTACGTCAGAACACTTCTGCTGAAGAGCTGGCAGAGGTCACTGCAGTGGCTGATGATTTTAAGCACTATCTCATCTTTTGCACCCCAAGCAATTTTATTAGTACGTGAGACACTTCACGTGCAAGACGCTTAAAGCACTGAAAATAAGGAGTTAAGAGACAGACACAAAACGTAGCCTTATTAGTGGACTCACATATATATATATATATAAAAGTGTGTGTGTTTTTATATATATGAAGGATAAAGGAGCAGAATTTCCGAAAAAGCCTTGTGTCCAATTTAAACAAACGTCCCTCAACTTGCTGTGAACAATGGTCAGAAGCAGAAGGGCTGCCAGACAAACACTTTTGAGGACCACAGCCAAATACAGAAGAGAAAAGTGGAGATGTTAGAACTGGTATTTCAGCCCCTGGGAACGTCCAAGCCCCGCAGCTCAGAAGAACGTTAGTTTTTGCCAAAGATGTAGCAAGAAAAATCACCCTGACAGCACCTGCAGAGATGCCCACGCTCAGAAAGGCGCTATTTTGGCACCATTTATAAGGAATATCCCTCTATCCATCTCTTTTTCATACCGAGAGAGCACTCAGAGTTATTATTTGTTACCAAAGGGCAGTGTCACCCCAGTGGGTGCCCTGCAGAGCCAGAGGCTTCTGCTGCAGGCCGGATGCCAGGGTGAGGGGCGCTGCCCTGCGGCAGGAAGCCGCACAGTCAGAGCCCACACGTGGCTGGGGCTGTCAGCGCCCGCAGCAAACGCCACTGACCTGGGCTTCACTGCTTTGGTCTTCGCAGGCACAGCAGCTTTTTCGGGTTTCCGGTCTTCCTCGAAAGGGTTGAGCGGTTGCTTGTTTGCAAAGAGGTCCTCTGCGTGGTGACCTTCTTCTGAAGGACCCCCCCTGCTTAAATCTGCTGGAAGTTCAACACGTTTGGTCTCTTGTTCGCTCTTCTCTTCTGGAACTTTGTTTTCCTCTTCCTGCAGGGTCCTGTCGGGAATATTCTCAGCATCGCTGCTCTTCACTGCTTCCTTCTTCCCCGTGACCAGGGAGAGCAAGGCAGACTTTTTGTGGTCTGGTTTTTTGGTCTCTTTAATAACCTCGACAGTCAGAGGAACGCTGGGTTCTGGGTATTCTTCGCTGCTGAGCAATTTGTACGACGGCAAAGTCATAGATTTGAAGGTCTCCAAGGACGCAGACCCAGAGAAAGCGTGACTTGGAGATGTTCTTCCCGTCTCTTCGGGAACTTTAGCAGATCTGGAAGACAGGTTCTCTTCCGAAGCAAAGAGCTGCTTCCTCCTGAAGTTGTGAGGAGAGGGGGAAGAGGCCGGAGTGTTGTCCTTCGTCCCGCTCTCTTCCATGTACACGTGGCTGCCGTTGATACACAGACTAGACTTGGAAACGGGGTCGTTTTTGGATTTAAGGCCACTGAATAAAGAGAGCCCTTCTTTCTTGGGGTGGCTAGTGGTTACTTGGTTTAGTTGCCTGCTGTCCAAAGTTGCTGTTTTGCGAGACTTGAACACAGGAGAAGGAGAGGACTTCTCTTCCAGGGCATTTCCAAAGGTCTCTGGAAAAAAATACAGGGGGAGAAATTCAAGATGCAGGAACATCCTTTCCTCTGACACCCTCAGCACTTCACAGCCACTGATGGACTGTGGCAACAGAAGCATGGTGAGTGTGACTGTCCCAGCCACTTCCAAACCCTCTGGTTCCCTCCCCCTGTGGAAAAAAAGCGGCTTTGTATGGATTTGTTCATTAAGAAAAATCGAACTAGTGGATTAAAAAGCATGAGAAGGGCAATCACAGCTCTGCAGAAAGGCCCTGTGCCTGTCACTGCCAATACTCACTTTCGGAGGTCGGGGAGGTGTCGGAGCCCTCCTCATCCCACTGGGGCTGGAAGTCGCTGGGCCGCAGCCGAACCCTCTCGGTGACGGGCTGCTGCGTGGGCAGGACAGACATGGACTGGGAGAGGGATGTCTTCTGCAGGCCGGGCTTGGAAAACAGGCTTTTGAACTTGGACTTCTTCTTCTCCTTCTCCTTCTCCACCGCCTCGTCTTCGCTGTCAGCGGGGGAGTGAGTCGTGCTGGGAATGATGGCCGAGGCCGTGTCGGAAAGGCCACTGCTCCTCTTCCCCTTCAGCTTGTCTTTGAACTTGCCAAAGGGGGAGCGGGACTTGTCCTTCACGGACAGGTCAAACATACTGGCCGTCAAGTTGCTCCTCATAAACTGGATATCCACTTCGATCTCCCCTCTCTCCTTTTCTTTTTTCCCCGGTTTGGAGCGAAGCTTGTACCACCTGCAGAAACAAGATCTCTTTTACAAACAAGCCCTTGAGAGGCGGGGGTCATTCAGAACAACAGAGGGTGTTTATGTTTTGAAAACCAAATAACCCACAGTGGAAAAAAAAAAAAAAAAAGAAAGAAATGCCTTTAATCTTGCAACTACACCATAATCATATGGCCCCAGGTGCCAAGGAAAACATTTCTTATCATGAATAGAATGTTATTAGTAATATCTGTTTCAAACCTCAGACCAGGAGGGGTTAAAAAAAAAAAAAGAAGAGAAAACAACCCCACAACATGGAATTCCTGTATTTCAGCTCAGCCACTCTCTTCTGCCCTTTTATCTGGCTTCCGAAATTCGCAGAGGACTTTGAAGTGGGCTGGAAGGCAGCCGGTACCAGACAGCTCCCACACGCCCTCATACCTTTCATTCCAGAGGCTCCTCGTTGCTTAACGCCTCAGGAACCCTCATCAACACGGGGAGAGCCAAACCAAGAGCCAAACCAAGCCTTAGAGCCCGGGGACTTCCACTCTCCTCCACCAGCTCCTCGCCAGGAAGGACCCTCTTTACAGACAGAGCCTTATCCCTCCCGAAACGCAGCTCCGGAATATTAAGCACTGCGTATTAATTAAGTGCTGGGGTACCCTAAAGTGCAACCCCCCTGTTCATTTACCGCCACCACACGTGCTCATTTACCACTCAATGACACACAAACCACTTTAGGGCCAGCAAAGAAAATTATCAGCCCCACACACCAATTTTTTTTGTCTAGGGCTGGAGCCGCAGACTCCCCGACTCCACAGAACCGATAGGAAGAGCCGCCTGGGAAACACCAGCTTCTTCCTCCTCACCAGCTGGTACGAGGAGTGAAGGTGACACACAAACCGCGTTAGGGCCGGCAAAGAAAATTATCAGCCCCACACACCAATTTTTTTTTTGTCTAGGGCTGGAGCCGCAGACTCCCCGACTCCACAGAACCGATAGGAAGAGCCGCCTGGGAAACACCAGCTTCTTCCTCCTCACCAGCTGGTACGAGGAGTGAAGGGAGGGAGCAGGGCATGCAAATCTGCCTCTCCATCAAAGCTGCACTCCAGCCCTTTGGAGGTGCACTGGAAGCAATGAAAGAGAACAGGAGTTTTGCTTCCGAGAAAATTCAAAACTAAAGAGGATTTGCTGAAGGAGATGAATTCAGGAACCTGCTACAGAGGAACACGTTGGAGAGAAACGATCCCCCGAGCACCACGCTCCAGTCTGGTGTCACCCCCGAAGCTACAGGAGCACCAGGGAAGGGACTGTTCGAGACACCAGGCTCTGTCAGGCGGCAAAGGGGAAGCACGATCCGTTTCCCTTTCATACAAGCCAGCACCGGGCACTTTTGTTCTAAATCTCGTGATTTCTAGGAGCATCCTGCGCTCTGCGGTGTCACAACAATTCCCTCTGCCCCGGGGAAAAGAGCAGCCCCCGTTGGAACAGCATCTGAAATGCAAACTGTGTGTTCAGCAAAAGGCGGCCTCGCACCAGAATGCAGCCGTGGCTTTGAGGAGAATGAACGGCACACTGACAGCCTCCCCCCACATTACAAAATCTTATTAATTTCATTTAGCATGTTACTGTGCCCCTGTTAATCAACAGGCATTTTATCTTCCAAATAAAACCAGCCCTTTACAGGTATCCATCACCACAACCTGCAGTGAGGGGCTGGGAGGACCGACACTAACAACTTGAAATGACAGGAATTTTCCCAGAAGCCTCAAAGTTGGG